ACAGACTGGGAATGGATCTTCACCAATCCTATATCTGACAGAGGGCTAATATCCAGAATATATAAAGAACTCAAGAAATTAAACTCTAACAAACCAAATCATCAACTAAAAAATGGGGTACAGAACTAAACAGAATTCTCAACAGAAGTAGTGATAATGGCTGTTTTTTTTTTTTTTAAACATTAGCTTCCTGTTGTTTTAAGCAAGACTCTACCCTACAGCTGTGGGACAAGGGATCTAACTTGGAGACTTCTAGCTGGTGTCAGGAGACAGCTATGGCAACAGTCTTTTTCTCATTCCAGGGCTTTCTGTTTCCATTCTCCAGGCCCTGGAGGCCCACTGACTGCTCAGGTCCTGCACATCTCCCTCAAATGCAAATTTCTGATGGTAACATCATGTTTTTATTATTTACTATTGGTTCATTCCTGGCAAAATAAAACCAACCAAACAAACAAACACAAATATATGCAAGGTAAAACACAACCAAGACTATGACAAACCTTTCCTGACATAAAGGAAAGATGAAATCTGGGACAGAAACCTGCAGACAGGCCCCAGCAGCTTGCTTGGATGAGGTCCCCTCTATGCTCACAAAACCCTGATTTGCTACTTCTCTTTTCAGAATATTCCTTCCCAATAAAACAAACTGTTTTCTGTGTCTTCTTCCTTTCTTTACATTTCAAGTTTTGTTGGAAGACAACATAAAAAAAAATACAACACGTACACACACAGTCTCTTTTCTCTCACAAAGTCTCTCTCTCACACATAGAGAGACAGAAGAGAGAGAAATGGGCATGTATGCAGGTTTCACTTGCAGAAAAGAAAATTCTCATTTGTTTTCTTAATTTATGTAAAGCCACTGTAATTTCACAGAAAAAAAATTCCCTTATGAGAAAAGGCTTTTATGATTTTTGTTATTTATTTATTTTAATGACCATTTTCTAAACCCTTTTTCAATCAAGAACTCAAAAGAATTCCATTTTCAGCTCAGACATATAAAAAGCTTGGGCGTCATAATTCCCATTCTTAACAGTAAAGGCATAGAAAAATCAAAGACATGTTTTAGATTCAGAGACCCCAAAACCTGGGAAAACCACTAACTTAATGTAAAAAGACACAAATTTGCAAGGTGGAATATTTGAATAAGCAGACACAGGCACTGGATGCCATGACTGCAGAGCACTTGTTAACCTAGTGCTTTTGACAAGTTGCTAAAGCTGAATTTAGAGAACAAGGGAGCGCGCTACCTCACTGACTTCCCTTGGATGAAGATCCAAGAAAGCATCCCAAGTAGCCATGGATGGATACATCAGATCCTTCTCCCAAACTGAGGATAAAATTTTGCCCTTGGTAAATGCTAAACACTCATTCTAGCTTCCGTGAAATGATACGTGACCTGTGGCTTTCCTGTCTCCTCCACTGGAGAAGCAAAATCCAAACTGCAAAAGCACAGTGATCATGGTATGCAGAGCTTAAGCAAATACATTGTGAAGTCTGTAGTCAGAGAAGGAAATGAAAGATTTTGAGGTAGGAAAAAACGAGTCCCCTGGGCAAGAAACAGAAACACAAAGATTCTACCCCTGAGACATAGGCCCACCAAAAGGTTTAGCCAGATTAAAGGGCACCCCTTCCCTTTTCCAGCTCATTGTTATGGATATATCTCCTGCATCACACTGGCTGACAAACAAGACAGATGTAAGATCCAGAATCCTTGTGGAGTACATTGGGAAGCCCAGAGTCAAGGATAGGAACAAAAATAAGCATGGATGGAGGATACTCATTGTTAAACTATTTCCTGCTGATAGATCCAGATAGAGAACAAATTATTGCCCTCAGTTAGATAACCACAGATGATCCTACCAGGCATAATGACACCCTGCAATCCATTATGGTGAGTGCATGAACTGTTCACAGTGTTAAGGTGACATACTACCTTATTACTAATTAATTCTTAATTTATTTATCTGAAATTATTTATTGATTAGTGTTGTAAAACAAGGAACAAGAATAAGATATAGATATTAAAAAAATAATTTGGCAAAAAAAGGTTAAATATAAATAATATGCATATTATAGGAAAAGTCACTTCCATCTAATCGTCATTTAATGGCCCTGATTAAATGCTGTGTCATGAACAAACCCAAGAGTCATGAATCTGAGAATGGTACTAGTATAGATGGGAAGGGGTTGCTAGAGATGGGAGGGAAGATGTGGGGAAGAGAATAAGTAAGTATATTATAAATATATATGAAAACATCAAATAAAACTGGACAATAAAAAAGAAAATAAAAACAGAAATACAAGCAGATTTTAAACTTTTATTGCCACTGGAAACACCCACAACCCATCCCAAGGTTAGATTAGCAGAATTCTCATATGAAAGCCAGATTAGCTCAGATCCTATCCTGTCACATAAAATACCTGGCTTTTCTACAACAATGTAAGATGCATGTAAAGAGATGAAAAGGATTCCAAATGGAAAAAGCAAACATCTTAACCAGACACAAATGTCAAACAAGGAGGTTTAATTCCAACTATTAATACGCTTAAAATCTCAAAAAAACGTTGAAAACAACAGAAGGTGCTAGAAACAAAAAAGCATTTTTTTCCTCTTTTTTTAAAAAATTTTTTATTAATTACACTTTATTCATTTTGTATCCCCCCATAAGCCCCTCCCTCCTCCCCTCCCGATCCCACCCTCCCTCCCCTTTCTGCATGCATGCCACTCCCCAAGTCCACTGATAGGGGAGGTTCTCCTCTTCTTTCTGATCTTAGTCTATCAGTTCTCATCAAAAGTGGCTGCATTGTCCTCTACTGTGGCCTGATAAGGCTGCTCCCCCCTCAGGGGGAAGGGATCAACAAGCAGGCCAATCAGATTACGTCAGAGGCAGCATTTTAACAGTAACAATATATTACTGATAATAGAAAAGTTAACTGTTTAAAACAGTAATCGTCACAACATCCTGAATGATTAGAGTCTACTGTAATCAGAACGAATGATGCTAGTACAGCATGAGGCAGAAGCAAGAACCTGGGGTGCCGAATTAAAGGGGAGCTGAACGGTAAAGTCCCCTCGTGTCACTTGAGGGAAGGCTTAGGTTACTTTAACTTGTATAACCTAGGAAACCTGCTAAATTTACTGAATAGGTGTAGCTGCTATATCAAAAGAAGATATAAAACAAAGTCACAAAAAAGTGTGTCTTAAAAACTACAGAAGACAGAAAATGAGAGAGGAACAAAGGAAAACAGAGGGCATGGCAACAGATGGTATTAGTTAGGCCAACTGTAGTAATCACTTCAATTATGAGTGTTCTAAACACAGGCATTGAAAGAGAAAGCTATCTGGGTGGGTGTTAACAGAACAACAACGAGGTAAACCAAATAAACCTCAAGACCCAACTACATCTTTATAAATAACTGGCAAGTCAACAGGAGAAAATATCCACTCTGCTAATGCTAATTACAGGAAAGCTCCAGCTAGCTCAATTAGTTCAAGACAAAGTAGGCTTTAGAGAAAAAGCAAGGAATGTCACGATTAAGGATGCAGTTCTACAAGAAGACAGAACAGTCCTAATAGACACGTACACATGAGGCAAATTCCAATAGAACTGAACACAAATATAAATTCACTAGTATGATAGTGATTTGAATTAGAAGTGCTGTATGCTGCACGTCACAGGAGGGAAATTAGCAGGCCTACCCCTCAACTGTAAGAACAGTCTGATAAAGGAGACGAAAGATTTTGCATTAATAACTATAATCCTGTAGTACACAGAATTGTATTTTATAGGGCTGCCATAAGCAGTATATAAGTTGGAATGCATAGATAATTATCTGGCAGGTCCTGTTGGTCCATTGCATTTGGGACATGAAAAGCAGTTTGTTTATTTATTTTTTCCTTTTCCCAGTGAGACGTGATAAATTCTCAGTAGCTGCCGAATGACTGAATCTCAATTTTACTACATAGTAATGCTCACCAACATTAACTGTACAGAAGAATAAGTACAGGGACAATGAGACCAGATTCTTAATTTTACATGTCTGTTAATACATAAGATTTACAGGCATCCTCCACTATAAGCCACCTCCCGGCTCAATGACACAGTGAAAAAAATTATAGTGAGTTCGTGGATAGTTCACAGTGTTAAGGTGACATACTGCTTCATTATCAATTAAATCTTCACTTGCTTATCTAAAGCTATTTATAAATTAGATGCAAAGCAAGGGACAGGAATATGATGCAGAAATTAAGAGAAATAAATTTTCAAAAACGTTAAAAATAAATATATGTATATTGTAAAAGTATATTTCTTAATGAATTTTAAAATGGCAGACGTTCGGTAATGTGAATTGCATATTAGGGCTTAGTTAAATCATGTATATACCCAAAATAAGTCAAAATGCAAATACCTAAGAAGTACACTATTAGACAAATCATTCAGTCTAAAAATAAAAAAAAAACATGAGCTTTTATTTATTCAACTTTTCATATGTATAACCTGAATAGCAACTTAAGAGAAACCATATTATTAACTGTCATCACTTTACATTATCCAGTTTAACAATCATCTTCAATTCATTTATTTCCAGGCTGAGTTAAAAAAAAATTGAAATTTCAATTACTTGCATAACACTCTGCATCATACGTTTATGACAAATTATATTGCACTGAGGGGCACTGGCTCATTATATACTGGGGACACTGTTCAGACAGCAGATGACTGTCAATTTTTTCATTCAGGGCTGTTTGCCCAGTAGGCACAACCCTCCTGCCCTGGAACAGGGCACACGGGAGCAGGGATGACTAGCTAATGACCCTGACATTCCTCCTTCTCCACCCAAGTTCTTTCAAATATCACTGTTCGATTTATTAAAATTCATTCTCACCCAACTATTCAAGGAATGGACTGTCAAACGTAAAACACCTCCTCATAGGGCTAGAGTCACTCAATGTCCTTCCAGGCTTCAGACAGGGCAAGGGGAGACATCAGAGTGCTCACCTGGCAAGCGTTATAAAGTAGCTGGTGCTCCAGTTTTTTAATACCTAGAATCTGCTGGAACATTTCATAGAGCTGCTCCTTGCTCAGAATCAGCTCAGACACGGCGCTCAGGGTCATCCTGTTTGGCTGTTTGCACAAATCTTCTTCTCCCCTGTAAATGGCATCATATTTGGCTATCCATGAGCTCAGCACCGTCTCTTTGCTCAGGCCGTCTATTTCCGGCAAGCTGCGTACACGTTTTTCTATGTTTTTCTTAAACACCTCTCTGAAATCGTTAGCTGAGCATCCTCCACTCTGAACCATTCTGGCCACTCGGTCGCTCTTTAGAAAAACCTGAAAAACAGAACCAAACACATCTTTAGTTAGACATGGGCACTCACACCTATGCTTTGAGCAATCTAGCCGGGGCACAAAATGTTCTGCCCTGGCTCAAAATGTTCTATAACGCATGCACAATACATGGTAACTTATGAGAGGAGGCCCAAATCTAAACAGCTGGCAGCTTGGGAGTGGCAGTAAGAGTCCTGAGCAAGCTCTGAGGTAACCTACATATCTCTCACTGGAAGGTCAGGGAAACATATACAAAAGGCTTCTCTAAAGCAGACGGACTCCCAGTGTTTATGAACAGTGGCTTTGAAAGCAGACTCAAGGGTTCTGCCATCTCTCTTTTGCAGCCTGAGAACTCAGTGCCACGAGTCAGTCAATACACACAAAGTCCCTGCCACTCTTACTTAGAACGTCCCAACATTAGACACCAGAGAAAATAAACCTCTGTTGTATATCTCTCCACCCCTCTCTCATCAGCCTCCCACCCTTGTTATTCTCACTCCAATGGTTAAAAAAGTAGCTGGAAATTCATGGCCAATCAGTACATATATCTTGGAGTGCCAGAGACCTCTTGAGCACAAGAGGGTTGGAATGCCAACAGATTCATAGACCCACACTTGAAGACAGTAAATAGCCAATGGAACTGTTAACCCCAAGTACTTCATGACAGAGTCTGTGATATTTGTCCTTTTCTCTGATTTCATCAACTCCCCAGTTTCTTAACACTTGTCTTGTAGCTACAAGGAATGGATGTGAGGAGGGGAAAATACCTGTAAGACAGTTTTAAGTTTCCACTACTACTAGGTAAGAATATAGCAATCTAATATTCAGTAATATTCAGTAACATAATCAATTAAAATATATAAAAGATAGATTCATGCAGCACATATTGGCAGACTGGCACTAATAACGTTATATTTTGAAGAGACACAAGATCCTACTCTTCTACATTATGGATATAAAGACCATTAGAGATTATTAAACAACTGTTTTGTCAACAATATGACCATGAACCCAACCATTTTGTCAGGGATACTTATAACATGATACTGCTATTGTCCCTTTCTTCTTCTTCTTCTTCTTCTTCAGTGACACAAGCTTCTTCTAGAAGAGACTGAAAAACTAATGCAGATACCATGTGTTTCATGCTGCTATTATGCTTATAGGATGAAAATGTCAATGAAAAGTTATTTGTGGGAGCACTATTTCTAATTGTCTGAGAAAGCGCCAGATTGATTTCCAAAGTGGTTGTACAAGTTTACATTCCCACCAGAAGTGGAGGAGGGTTCCCCTTTCTCCACATCCTCTCCAGCATGTATTGTCACTTGAGTTTTTTATCTTAGCCATTCTGATAAGTGTAAGGTGAAATCTCAGGATCACTGTGATTTGCATTTCCTTGATGACCAAGGATGTTGAGCATATCTTTAAGTTTTTCTCAGCCATTTGATATTCCTCTATCGAGAATTCTCTGTTTAGCTCTGTACCCCATTTTTTAATTGGATTACTTGAATTGTTGGTGTTTAACTTCTTGAGTTCTTTATATATTCCAGATATTAGCCCTCTGTCAGATATAGGGTTGAAGAAGATCCTTCCCAGTCTGTAGGCTGTTGTTTTGTTCTGATGACAGTGTCCTTTGATTTACAGCTTTTTAGCTTTTTTTTTTTCCATGAGGTCCACAAGGACAGCAACAGAACCACAAAATCTAGGCCCAGGGGTTTTTTCTGAGACTGATATTCCAACCAAGGACCATGCATGGAGATAACCTAGAACCCCTGAACAGATGTAGCCAATAGCAGCTCAGTTTCCAAATGGGCGGCCTAGTAAGGGAAACAGAAACTGTCTCTGATGTGAACTTAGAGGCTGGCTCTTTGATTACCTCTCCCGAGTCGGGAGTAGACTTACTAGACCACAGAGGAAGACAATGCAGCCAGTCCTGATGAGACCTGATAGGCTAGGTCAGAAGGAAGGGAAGGAGGACTGGGGGAGGGTCATGGGAGGAGAAGAAGAAGGGAGGGTAGGGTAGGATGGGATGGGTTGAGGAAGAAAACTACAGCTGGGATACAAAGTGAATAAACTGTAATAAAAAATAAGTAAGTAAATAAGAAGATATTTGTGTGTGTATATCATGCTTGTGGGGTTGTGAGCCCCTCTGCATATCTGTGAACAGAGAAGCATATCAGGCATCTTTTCCACTCTCTACCTAGCCCTCCTCCCCTACCAACTGACGCCAGCCTATGTAGTCTCATCAGGACTGCCTGCATCCTCTTCTTCTGTGGCCTGGCAAAGCTGCCTTGCCAGGGAGAAGTGATCAAGGAGGAGGCTATAGAGTCCATATGAGAGATAATCTCTGCCCCCTTACTAGGGAACCCAAATAAAGACGGAGCTGCCTATTGGCTGCATCTGAGCAGGAGCCCTCTGTTCTCTCCATGCATGGTCCTTGGTTGGGGCATCTGCAGGCCCCTCTGGACCCAGATTTTTTGGTTCCGTTGGTCTTCTGGTGGAACTTCTGTCCCCTCTGGGTCCTTCTGTCTACAACTCTTCCATAAGACTTCCTGCATTCTGCCCAAAGTTTACTATGAGTCTCAGCATCTGCCTCAATCCCCTGGTTGGGTAGAATCTTTCAGAGGACATCCATGGTAGGCTCCTGTCCTGTTCCCTCTCTTCAGCCCCGCTTCTGGTGTCTATTCTATTTGCCATCTGGAAGAGAATTAAACATCCTCCCTAGGGTCTTCCCTGTTACTTAGCCCCTTTAGGCATGCAGACTGTAGTATGGTTATTTATCCTGTATTATATGGCTAATATCCACTTATTAGTGAGTATATACCATGCTTGTCTTTTTGAGTCTGGGTTGCTTCACTCAGAATGATCTTTTCCAGATCCATCCATTTGCCTGAAAATTTCATGATGTCCTTGTTTTTAATAGCTGAGTAGTATTGCACTGGGTAGATATACCACATTTTCTTTATCCATTCTTTGGTGAGGAACATTTGGGTTGTTTCTAGTTTCTGGCTATGACAAATAAAGCTGCTATGAACATAGCTGAGTAAATGTCCTTGTATGGTGGAGCAGCTTTTGGGTATACACCCAGGAGAGATGTAGATGAATCTTGACGTAGAGCTGACCTGTATTTTCTGAGAAAGCACCAGATTAATTTCCATAGTGGTTGTAAAAGTTTGCACTTCCACCAGCAATGCAGGAGTGGGGAATGACATTTCTTGAGTATGCATGGTGTTGTCTCTCTTTTTTTTTTTTCTCATATAATACTGCCTCTCTTTATATTGGCAGTGAATACAAATAAATCTTGTATTTATATATTACACATAAAATCACAGTTATATCATGAGACCTATCAATTACATATGATTATATTTTAATTAGTACACTAAACTGCATACATATGTATATATAACTTTGAGTATAACTATTTCTAAAGTTGGATATATAGAAGCCAAGCAATCAAAGAAATACATTCAGGCTACACCGTTTCATACCATTTTATGAACTATCAATAGAGTGAGCCAGAGGTGACACACTGGTAAAGGAGGGCTTGTTATTAATTGTAGTTAGGTGACACTAACTATGGACAGCTATTTTTTTTTCAGATGCCCTATGGTGCCTTTTCTGAACACCATCCACACTGGCAAATTCCCAGTAAGTCCTGGAGGCTAGCATCATCATGTGGACTTCAACCCAGAGCTCATAGCAAAGAGATTCACTGTGTGTACCACTATGTAATGTAATAACTCTATGGTTATGCCATGACACACACATTTTAGTGAGGTTTGGTCTTAGGTCTAGGGTTGCTAAAATGGGACTCTCTTCCAGACTACTTTCTTCCTCAGATGCTCTACCTCCTAATTCTAACAGTTTTTATTGTTTTCTTTGCCTATAGTAGTCAACCAATCTTGTTTATGTATTATGGCTTTCAGGTTTAATTATTTTGTTTTTTAGTTAATACAAGAATAGGACTTGTATTGATGATACCAGGTAATGTTGCTTATCTAGAAAATACCTTAAGTTCAGTCTTTTAGAAATGGTGTAATATTTATAAACCCTGACCAGCAAAATATGTATTTATAAATATTTCAGGTCTCACTATAGGAATACCACTGATTTCTCTTGCTCTATATGGGCAGTTATTTTGTTTTGTCACTCTATGGTCTAATATATATCCAAGACCTAGACTCCCCCTAAGTAACTCTAGTTTTGAAGCAAAGGCATGACCAAACATTGTTGCTAAATTGTTTTCTTCTATCAAAATATAACCAAGGCTGCACTAACTCCCTCCAACTACATAACTGATATTTGCTAACTGGTAACAAAATGCTAGGATTCTGCTAAGTGTCTGTGGCATACAGATGAATCCATCAAAGACTAAACTCCGACAATCTCATGCTCCCTAAGGAGAAAAGATTAAAAGGAAAAGGAAATAGGGCAAGAGAGATAACAGACACTCATACAAAAAGAGGAAAAACAAAGGAAATGAAGTTAACAACTCTTGTGGAAAGTCAGAACCAGGCAGGGAGCAGAGAAAGAGCCCAGAACAGAAAAAAAAGGACCCCTGTCTTCAACAGCCTGTGAATTGTGTAAAAATAAAAGAGACAGTTAAACACAGTTTAAGGAAAGTAAATAAGTGGTAGCAAGAAGAATAGAAGAATAAGACATTAAGATATCAAAGGGAAATTTGAGAACTTTCCTACTATATACAGATATTAAACATGAGTGTAGCAAGTATTTTAACCAGGAATACCACTAGAGATCAGATAAGAAAATGGCCTGTGTACATGAGAGAAGTCCAGGTTCTAGCTGATGATGCCATCAGAACTTTGCTTATCAACCTGAATAGGTAGGGAATCATCTAAGAGAAATGCCTCTTGGTGGGTCTGGAGAATGGTTCTTAGAAACATGAAGTGAGAAGGAAAGGCCTTCCTGAGTGGGCAGCACTTCTCTGAGAGGGCACTCTAAACAAAAAGAGGACAGAGGGGAAAAGCAGTGCTGATTTTGCC